AGCTGTAGGATTCGGTCAGACTCATTTACTAAAACCTGCCGGTACATTTTTTCAATATCCGCTGACAACACATAACGATGTTGCCGGAACCGGATGAGGATATTGAAAAGAGAGTCTTGAACTGTAGGGCCTATCATTTGAATGTCGTTTATAGACAAACCAGATGACGTGCGAGCGATGCGTCCAAGACGACGCGTAAACGTGTTGACTCACTGTCTTCATGAATGACAGGATGATGCGGAACAAAATAGGCAAGCTCAGGTCGGTCTCCTCAGATATTTCTAGGTGTCCTAGTTTGTAATACTCCTCAATGAAGTCTACATAGGCGGACTTACGTTCGGGTTGCTTGCGAAAGCGACGTTCCAGGTTTATAAATCGTCGCCTGGCCATGAAATAGGAAGTGCCTAGGCAGTCTGATTCGTTGATCAATGGCAGCGTGACACAAAAACGACTTTCTTCAGTGCGTTTTGTGTGCTGTAAAAAATGTTGTTCGCAAGCTATCCTTTGGTCCGTAAGAAGGGGTTTTTGGGGCAAACTTTCAAGCTCCCAAAACCTCTTTAATTCATTGTGAAGCTCAACAAAAGTATTGTTGTTTTCAATACTTTCAAAATTACTTTTAACTGGGGAATTTATATTGAGATTGTCATTTTGAATATAGTGCATGGGATCTGCGATAAGGCATCCTAATTGAGAATCATGTAGAATAGGATTTCCTTTGCCTACATAGTGCTGTTTGGTTCCAATAATGGACCAAAATAGGTCAGCACTGATGAACAGTCCTATGTCAGACGGCTTATAAAAGCTGGGGTCTGCTAATTCAAAGGACTTCAAGTTAAGGTGTGTAATAGACACAAGAGAGTTAGATATCTTGCCTGATATTTGGGGTATTACTAAACACGACGTCGTAACGCTGAAAGAACCTACTTTTGAATGAATTCGAACATTGCAACGTTCAGTATTAAGCTTGACAATGGTGTTACATATGCCGACTACATTCCTAACATCGGATGTGGATGAAGTTCAATTTTACTTTGATTTAAATTTTTCTGTAATAAAGCTAGATTGACTGCCGTTGTCTAAGAGAGCTTTAGTAGTAATGTAATTGTTTGTTGTGGGATTAAAAATATCAACCTTAGGCTTAGAGACTGTAACATTAGTGACAGCCACATTAGTATCAGAATCCGTAGGTTTGTATAAAAATGTATTGTGACATTTTTTGCATATTCTGCACGTTCCTGGAAGCTTGCAAGCGCGTGTATTATGGCCTTTACGTAAACAGTTGGGACACAACTTTAGCTCGGATACTAATGAAAGTCTATCATCAATAGATTTCGATTGAAATTGTGAGCACTTATAGTTACGATGACCTTGACTACAGAAAATACACTTGTGAGACGTGGTTGATAATGAGTAGCCCTGCTCAGTGCTAACGAAAAACTTAGTATGAGAAACGGGATTTTGTTTGACGCCTTGATTATTATTCGGTTTTGACTTTATACTTTTTTCTTGTTTATTTCGGTAAACAGAATCCAAAACTTCAGCACTGCCCTTAATAAACATTACAAAATTATCTAGGATAGGCATATCGGAACCATTAACATTAGCTTGAATGTATTCCTCCCATTTAACACACGTATTGCTGTCTAATTTCGCTGAGAGCATGAATACAATCAGGGTGTCCCAATAATCAGTTGGTTGTTTTAAAGTATTTAAAGCACGTAGGTTTTTTGTGACGTGGTCTACTACAAATCTTAATGACTTGTCAGACTCACGCAACGGCTCAATATTAAATAATGATTACAAATGTTTATTTATTAATTGACAAGTATTATTAAAACGCTCGCAACGAAGACTCCATGCTTCAGGATAATTACTTTCGCAAACTTCTAAATTACATATTATGACACGAGCAGTTTCAGCTTCTAGACAGGAATTTAAATAATGAAATTTGTGTATGTTTTTTATTTTTGTATTATTATGTATCAGAGAACTGAACGTATCACGAAATTCCAACCATTTGTTGATCGTACCATCAAACTTATTAATTTTAATGACTGGTAAACGAAAGCCGATAACTTCGTGATCATCTTCATCAGCTGTGTTAATACTGTTGTGCTGAAACGACGACATTTTTGTCGTAATGCTTACGGAAACAATTTCCTTATCCAATGCGATCGAATTGTGGAAATCTTGTTCGATGACTACTCTGGTATCTAATTCTAAGCTTAAATTATTTGATTAAAACTATTTTTTTGCGGATTTTATCGCGCTTTTTTACTATTATTTTAAATTCCCGACGTTTCGGGCGCTTTCCAGCACCCATGGTCACGGCGGACTGAGATGACTGACGTCTCGATGTCATTGTTAAGCCCGGAGTACCTTCAGCTTTTTTAATTATTGTTTATGGTCCGATCTATGCAAAACGAACTGACTATGTCCTTAAAAATAATTTAAGGACATAGTCAGTTCGTTTTGCTTCAATTTGAGTGTGTCCTCCAATGCTTCAATTTGATTTTGCACGTTATCGAATTCGCCAAATAAAGTCTCAAGTTTAACTAATCGCTGTGATAGCACGTTAACTTCCGTAGGAGAAAGCTTTTTACCTTTTAATTCTTCTAAATGGTTATTAAATTTCGTAACACGGCCTCTAATTGAAGCGCGTTTTAAATTAAGAGATTTATACTTCGCCTCCATACTGGCCAAGTTAACGCGCAAATAATTAAAATCGCAATGTAATCAAAACAACTAGTTATGCGCTGTGCTAATCAAATAAATAAGAATTGCATACGATACGCTCCCCGCTCTGTAGTCGCTGTGACGCGACTCGGTTTTAAATCAGCAGAAGTACGGTGAAAGGTCGGTTAGATGACGCGCACTGCTCTCGGGTAAGTAACACGACGTGAGCCCGCAGTGCTTGCACTGACACGGGATGCGATGATAGCCTCGAACGACCGCTGCGCCGTAGCTGAAATTGATTGTTGGAATGCTTTGTAGATATCTACGCACATAAAATAATAACGGAAAGCAAGATTGATTGTAAGTTTACTTGATTTGTGAAAATAATAATTTAATTAGCGTAATATAGGGCTTAGCGAATGATTATGTTATTGTGAATTGGCTTTTAAGTGATACTAATTTATTTGCGTGCATAAACAGCTAACAGTTGATAACGAGAAGTTAATTTATTTGCATTGATAAATTAAGCTCAAATTTTTGCGTAGCTATGTACAAAATACAAACGTTTAAAGAAATAAGTTCATCTATTTAAATTATAACTATTCAACAGTGGGCACCAATTAATTCCATGCTAGTAAAGACTTTCAAGTCGCAAAATGCAAATTATAGGCGGCTTGAAAAATAGCACTGGTTAACTAGCAAATGCTGCGGCGAAATAATAGTAAGAAATGATAGCCAATTAGCTGATAGGTAAGCAAATAAGTGTAAATAGGTGATTTTAACTCGTTGGGTATGTAGATTGTAGGTAGGTTTAACTAGGTAATTCTTTTAGGATTGGTTTAATAGGTATTTTATTTGGTAGGATTATTGAGTAGGAATAGTTTGTTTAGATTAGCAGTTTTATATGCGAAAGGGTATAGGATAGACAAGGAATATAAAAGATGTTGCTTAAGAATGGGTAGGTAAGGTAAGGCAACAAAAATAGGACTAGACTCCTTGTTTCCCTGTTCACACAAATAATTTTTTTAGGAATAGTGGGACACGAAGAGGTTAAATAACAGGAACGGGCTCACTTTTAGCTGGCAAAATTGCTGCTGTGGCGCGTGGACTCCGCTGGACCTCAGCTTGGCCGATTCTCAATAACTGCCCCCTTGTTTTCTCTCCGCTTCAGATGAATTCTTCTTGACCGCTTCGTTATTCTTAGGAATCGAGATGGTACGCCGATTGAATAATCTTCGTAGGAGATTTAGTAGATCAGCGCGGCTTTTATTGTTGGTAGCTCGTGGTACTTATGTTTGCGACGTTGTAAACGCGTTGTAAATGCCACGCCCTTTGACCGTAATACGCGGCGGAATCGGAGTTCGTTATTTTAATTTATCACGGTCGCCACTATGTTCAATTAGGGAACATGAATAAAATAGACGACTCACACGATAGGCAAATTGTTTATTTGAATAATCAAAATAAAAACTAATTTTGTGGTGATCGGGTCGCGAGCTATCGGCGAGTGACGGCCTTAAGCGCGGTGGTGAGAAAACCCCCCGCGCTTCTCGTACTCCCCGCGAACACCGTCGGTGCTGTCGCAACGGTGACGACAATAGCTGCCAAATTATCTGTCTTCCTGATTTCAGCTTTTGTATGAATATCGTCAAAACGTAAACTTCTTAAAAATGAAATCTTTCGCTTGATATAGTGGCAATACGTATATTGCTACCACTTCCATCCTTTTCCCAGACACCTTTTGTGGTTAGATGACCACTTCGCAGTCGTCTATACAGATAAAGTAATCCAAAAAGAGCTCTTATTTCATTTCGTTTGCTTACAATCACATTCTCTTGAGTACTTAGACGTTTTTTTTAGACATGGTAGAGCCATGCTGCAGTTATATTAATTGTATAGTTGTAGCACGAGTGGGTCGGCTCGATCGGGGAAGGATCACGCTCTCACCGAATAACAGCGTGAAATAGTAGCTTAATGCTGCCGCGTTTCGTATGGTGAGTGTAAAGGACCGGATACCCTTTTTACTGGAAATTAAGCATTCCATCTTAGTCCTCACGGGTGACAACGCATTTGTATTTTGATTTGTAATCGAGGATAGATGTAGATGTCTATGGACCGCAGCAACCACTTACCATCAAGTGGACTAGGTGCTCGTTTGTCATCCTATCCTATAAAAAAACTTAGATTTTAAATTTTGAATATACATGTTTGTATAGTGGATTATTTTTGTAGGCGAGACTCTGGAAAAATAAGATCCCAGGCTTGAAGCCTAATGACATACATAGACTAATAACGTTTTCCTTCACGAATGGGACCCGTCAAGTTTAGAACAATATTATGAGATCTCGTTGGCACACGCCGTGATGGCTCGCGGACTTTCCACTTTGTCTTTTTCCAATAAACTTCCCTAGTCTACGATACTTCAATAGCAGATCTTCTAAATATTCTTTATTGGTCTTTTCATTTTCAGTCTGTGAATCTGATTCTAATGGCGAACGGGTGGATAAACTCTTCTGAATCTGAGAGTCTGAATCACTTGCTTCCTGCTCCGTTTCACACTCATACTCTGTTCCTCGAAATCTTCTTTTTTCGACACAATTTCTAATGTGTGCTATTGTATGTATGTACCAAGAACTGCAATCTGCTGGCATGCTTTAAAAAAATTCTGTAGTATTTTTTACCCAGTATTCTAATATTACAAACTTTTCATGTCGAACCAAGACAGCAAACTCAATTTTCTTGAATTTAACAATGTTAACCTATTTTTGAGCCCATGCATCGTTACCACAAAGACAAAAATCCATCCGTCCGAAATCATGCATCCATCTCCTCGCCGTCCCTCACCGTAACTGAATAAACGAGAATTTACAAGGTAACACTCGTGAAAGCGCTTTCTCGTGCGAGACGCTCGCGAGAGGCATGGCGAGTGCTCCCGTCGAGAGTGTACAGCCGCCATAAGATCGCGAACTTACTCGGCTCGACGTCGGTGACACACGTGAAGCTTACTCAGTTACTCACGCTGTGTTGCGATGTCGTCGACGGAAGAAGCTTTGTGTTATTTAGGAATTATATCCTATTACATTTTAAAAACTAAAAAAAAGACGAATTCGAAAATTGTGGGTAAAGAACTAGCTTACGAAACGAGAGTTTTTATTACATGTGAATTTAGTAATGTTCAGTTCAGTTAAAAAAATTATGTTCTTTACGGTACCCAGCATTTAATGAGTTAATTTTCTTTTGACGTTATCAATAGTAGCATCTCTTTCCACTTTACGTATAATTTCCGATAAATTATTATATGCTTGAAACTTCATATTTTTGTCTCTGTAATCGTTACTTCTAAATTTCCAAAGACTAGGGTTATTTCGGAAAAGTTTTATAAATTCGATTAGCAGTTCATGCGAATAAGTTCGGAAATTACTCACACAATTTCAAACACTACAAGCGTCCACGGACTCGCAAAACAAAATGGCAGCTCGTGGCTCGCGGCGATGACAGACGTATGAACCAAGGCAAGCTACGAGCAAAATTTCAAACTTGTCGGATCTCCAACGAACTTACTCGGAGGTTTTAAAGTACGCGTACTTAGGGTGACACACCAGCGAAAAAGGTCGTCGAGCCACAAGTTCGCGAACTTACTCCTACTTCTATTACCCCTATTGGAGACTAGCTACTGCCCGCGACGGGTCGTCCAAATCGAAGATCTGAAACGTCTGATGTTGAATTCTATGAGCCCGGGGACGGGAAAACAACGTGATTCGCGAGACGATTCGAGACGTTCTAGATCTTTCATTTTTGTAAGTCAACAGGAAATGTCCATCAGACTAAACAACTTATGCTAAGACGTCATTCCTATATATGTTATAGTGTCGCTTGGCTTTGGATGGAGTGTAACTCCTTGTGTGTTATTAAGTTAATATATTGGTAATATTGTTTAGATCACGTTCACATGAGGCTTAAGTACTTATAGAACAAAAATAGTTCAGCGCAAAGCTTCCGGGTAAACTATGTTGAAAGTTGACACGTCCGGCACGTGAACATAAAGATTTCTAGAACTGATAACCCAGGAAAGAGCGACGTACAACTGACCATGGGAGAAACAACTGACACCGAGATCTACTCCAGCAACACGAAAAGTCTGCCCTTGAGCCTTATTAATTGTAATTGCATAACACATTGATACTGGAAATTGCGTTCTTTTAAATTGGAATCGAAAATTATTTGGTATTATAGGAATTCTGGGAATAAAGACGGTTTCTCCTGCACCGCAACCCATTAAAATTTGAGCCTCGATTATATTTTGTTGCAACTGGGTTATTGATAGAATCAGGCGTTACTTTGCGGAAATCCATTATAATAAAAAATAAAAATATAAATTTCTTTTGCAACTTTCCGCTAAACATATAAAATGATGTGTCTTACCTGGATTGAAGCGCTTTAAATTAGTTGTTTCATATTTTAGTAATAGAGTGCAGAAAGTTATGTCCATGTTTAAAGTTCTTCTGGATGGCCCGTACATATGGATTTCCCTCAGAGATCAACTCTTGGCCAATTATTATTTTTAGTGAATTATAACAATTTAACTTCCCTTGGGGTGTTCTTGATATAATTTTATTTGCTGATGATACTTCGTGGTTTTTAAACTTAAACATCAATCATTTAAATGTGACGAAGTGAATAATGCTATATCGAAATTAGTACATTTGTTTAACGTTAATAATCTAAATTTAAATGTACATAAGACTAAATGTATTAAATTAACAACAAAAAATGTAAATAATCCCAATTCCATTTTTTTAATGGGAAATAACTGAGTTCCTTTGAATCCTCTGTTTTTCTTGTCATCACTCTCGATGCTAAGCTTCAGTGGGACCCCCATATTTATGTATGTTCACAAAAACAAAGGTAGTTTTAGTAAAAAAAGTGATATACACTCTGCAAACGCTGGGAACAAACACAAGCTAGTAATACCAATTTCTCGATTTCACAGTCAGTAATTCATTATTTGAGCAATGTATAGGCCATTACGACAAAGTTCCAGAAAAAATATAGAAGGCCTCTCTAAGTTTAAGTATTTATTTAAACAAAAACTCTACAAAAAGGGTTATTATAATATAAATAAGCACATGGTTGATAATAACTCCTTGGAATGAGGTGATCGCTTCCAAGCAGTTTCTAAAATAAATTTTGTAAATATTTTGTGACCATTTACTTTGTAGAATTTATTAAAATGGTATGCAAATAACACCCTAAACTCAATAATGGGTAGTTATTACGATAGTGCAGACAGACACCCAATTCCATTGATATGCATAGATGTTAAAATCTATAACATATTAGAATTTTAGACAATATAGAAACTTAACTAAAAATAATAATTAAAATTATAATATTAACATTTAATACTAATTATACACAATAAAAAAGAAACTATAATATAGAAAAACTAAAACTAAAAATTTTAATAGTCAAAAATTCCTGCTCCGCGTGGTAAAATGCCAAGAACGCTGGCTGCGTTTACTCGCTGAATAGCTATACTTAGCCTTTGAGCGAGGAAAAAACCAGCCCTCTTGTCACCAGCAGTGACGAGCAGTCGTGGATATAGTTCCTTTAGGAACTTCATTGCACGTGGACCCCACGGACCGAAAGCCTCTACAGAAAATGGCACAAATATGTAGTCATTTCTCAAAGACTCATATTTGCGCCATTTACTAAATTCAGCTGTCTCTGATGGCACCCCAGCTCTGAAAGAGGTACCATTGAGATGAGAGGCCGCCAAAGTGTCAACGCAAGGAACATCCCATAGTAGGGCTTTACCTCTTTCCCAAGAGACCAAAGTCATACCGTCGGGTCTCTTGCCATCGTCTCTAAATATCCCGCAAGGCTCCTAAACCGAGGGATATTTATAAAGACAAGAATCCTTTGGATGATTCGTTCGAAGAACCGTGAGGGGAAAACCTACCTTCACTTTTCTTGCATGAAAGTCTGTGGTGCCCAAACTCATCGACGCTGCTACCACAGGGGCATTGGTGAGGTTGACAAATTGCCGCTCCTAGCCTGATTCCTACGGCGATACGCAAGCTGTCCCCATCAAGCAATGTGCCGAGATTACTTGATGGTAGAGCGTGTAACCAATGATTAGATTCCTTAGTCGATACAGCTAGAAGGCAAATCTGATCTTGTTGACTGTGGAAATTTTGAAATATTTTTTTCTGGACAATCCGTACCAACGGAATATCCCATTGTTTTTGTTAGTTAACTTCCAGTGGGAAATTTTCGCTGGGACGGAGCGTTAACCACAATTGCCTTACCTCCACAGAAAAACACAGGTCTACTTTATTGTTTAAGATTGTGTTACATAAATCATTGACATTATGCACGGAAGCAGGGAAAGCAGGCAATGCGACGCTAGAAGTGTTTCAAATTTGATAAGTAAAGTGGCTTGACTCCAGACTATTGTATTTAATCTCAAATCTAGGATTTTTTACAATTCAATTTTTATTATAAATATATTTTAAAATATCCTAACATTTTCAGACTGGACATGAGCATAATAAGAATGTAAATTTAGGTACAAGGAGAGAATATTTGAAAATAGTAAGGGCAATATATATGGGGGTTTAAAATATATAATTTATTTACGTGATTTAAAAAATGATCCAATTTTGTTTTTAAAACAGGTTTAATACTATCAAAAAACTATGGAGCACCAAGCAGGTAAAGCGATTCCGTATGTACAGTTTTTATTCCTGGAGAAATCTGATTGAAATTTTGAATTAAGGTAAATTATTGGAAAGAAATACTTCACATTTATTGGTATTTAGTTCAAAACAAATATTTTTATATTTTTGATAAAAATGAGTCAAATCACTGAGGACATCATCTGCTTAACCCCCCAGTGTACCGTCGTCCAGATACCAAACATTCAGCTTGGATTTTAAATTTGAAATAAAAAGTTGAATACCCAAACTAAAAAGAGCTGAACCTAATGGATCACCCTGCTGAACACCGACAGCAGACTCAATAATATGTTTTTGATAAAACAATTTCGAATTTTGACAGTAACATTGCCAAATGTAATGATAAATTTCGGGGGTGTTGTTAGCCACATCCTTCAGCAGGATTATTCTACCAATAGAGTTAAAAGCTCGCCTCGTTGGTGCAAATCCCGGGTCGGGCCAAAAAATTAATTATTGAGTTTTTTCGTAAATAAATTCTCAGTAGTTGCTCGGAGTTAGGAAGTTGGCGGTGTCTCACCCCCGTGCCTCGGAAAATTCGTAAAGCCATTGGTCCTGCGCCTGATCTCTCTCAGGTCGTGTTGGTTTACCTTCCCATCGGATTATGAGAGTGAGGGAAGAGAGAGTGCACCTGTTCTTGCGCATACAATTGGGCACTATAATCCTGTCCTGCGCCGATGGCTAGCCTCCGTTGAGGCTAGCCGCCGTGGCCGAAATTCGGTCGGGAGGACATTAGAGTTAGAAGCATTTCTAAGGTCAACCTTCAGAAAAACATCTGCATTCTAATTTTTTAAGAAAGTACGCACAGAATGTACAGTCGGCTTGCAGCCACTTTTGTTGCCAAAGCCTAGTTGAGTAGGTTTAAATTGTGTCCTAAGGTTTGAAATCATGTGCCTGCAAGCTAAATTTGAAGT